ATTGAGGCACGGGTATAAGTACTTGCCAATTCTCTACATATATATGATGTATATATAGTGTATATTATGGTTGGAATATGAATGTGGACTTCATTTTTGGGCTAGAATAAATTGGAAATGTAGGCTGGGTTGAACTGCAAGGACATTCTCGCAATAGCGAGAAGGTCCTGGGCAAATGGCGTGACTTTGTTGCGTTCTCGCTGTAGCGAGAAGGGCAACAGAGGAGGTGCATTTTTCTAAGTGCAATCTCGTTGTAGCGAGATTATACAAAAATCAAGGTGTAGTTTGGTTTAATATTTTTACTACAACGAGAAGGTCTCGCTGTAGCGAGAGTGTCGCGAATTCTAGGGTATTTGAGGGGTTTAGTGTTCGAAAAATTCATTTCTCACTTTTCCTCCTATCCCTTCTTCGATTCTCTCGATTCACAACCCTATTTCACTGATTAAATTGCCTCTAAAGTTGTTTGGGTGCAAGATTGAAGGATGAGATCACGTTTGAGGTGCTTGGAGGTAAGTTTTGAGAGCTAGGATTTCGGTTTTCATTCCTCTTCTTTGTTTTCTCAGTTTCTCATGAAGTTTTCCATGTGTTTAGAACGAAATACTGCGTGGGGGATATTTTCTACCATTATTTCATGTTGGATCTTCAATCCGAGGTAAGGAGGAACTCTACCCTATCTCATTGTACTTAGAATTCATTTATTGTGCTATGTATTGCAATGTGATTAGGATAAAATGTAGAATGATGTGTAATTGATGAGAGTGGTTTGATTATGATTGGATTGTAATGGAAACTTTGTGTGGAATGCAATGTGATTGATATTGAGTATGATGTGTGGTGAAATGGTGATAGAAATCGTATAGTTGGTTAAAATGTGGTTGAAAATGTGTGGACATGTTGTTGATTGATGATGAATAATATGAAATGATTGAAAATATGTGTAAATGGCATGATAGGTGTGATTGTGGTTGTATTTGAAAATGTTGGAAACTATGAATGGTTACAGCAATATACTGGGATATGGAAGATGGGGATGATAGAAATACCTTAGGGAAGAGAGGGTAATGGTAACACCAACAGTGAGCGTGGGTGCACCACACCACAGGCCACACACTTTCTTCCTGACTTGACCTCTAACTAATACCTTTGCTAAAGAACCTATGACCACACACGTTGTATCCGTGAGGCAGGGGCTAACCGTCGACCATCCATGGTGTGAAATTGAGTAAGTCCTTAAGTTTAAGGGCAGCAGAAAACTGTAATCACAATACCACAGTAAATGTGGCTAACATTACGTGTGTGTGGATTGATTGAAGGTGCAGTAAGTACACTCGTGTGTAAATTGATGTGATTTGATGTGGGTGTTGTAATAAATTGACTTATGATTGTTCAATAAATGAATTATATTATGAAATGTTTAGGACATGCAAAGTGAGTCTCTATGTTTGTGAGCGTGTGATAGTGTAGAGGACTCACCCTTACATTATTTTTCAAGTGACCAAAACGATTAGTACCAAGCTCAGTGAAAGGATAGATGAAACTACTATAGGACTTAGAAAATTATTCTTTTGAAATTATAATATGTTAATTAAGTTCTGTAGCAATAATTTGATTAAAATTTGTAATTCATCCTTATTTTGAAATATTTTATTGAAACTATGTATCGGGAACCATTCGAATGAAATTTCTATTATTCTCATTTATTATGAAATTAATTTATATTATTTGAAAATTAAATTAAGGTGTTACACGGACTCGAAGGGAGGCTCGTCGTCTTTGCCAATAATCGCCAATAACTTTTAACGGTAAAATAAGTAATAACTAAGAGGGGAAAGAAAGTGTGTAGAGAAAAGTCCTCTCTTTAAGGCTTCTTTATATAGAGTGTGGAATAAGATATAAGATCGTGACCTGGCTTCTAAGAGATAATCTCAATCTTTAAGAAAGAATATTTGATTTGCCAACTTTCAGAATCTTAACTTCAAAATCTTAACTAAAAATTATTCCAAATCTTCAAATCTAAATCTTTATCTAAGTTTAAATTTTAAATTCAAAATTTAAATTCATGTAGCACGGTCAAAGGCTAAAATTATCTAATTTTTATTTAGAATATCTTCATAATGCACTGATAATAACTTCCAACTAAGCTACAATAATTAATAGCATAATTAGTGTAAATATAAATAAAATAGGGTATAAGTATATAAAAATAAGTCATAAAATATATCAAATCATAGACTTATTAGTATTGTTCAATTTTCAATGTACAACTCAATGTAAATTTTATTCTTATTTAAGGGAACCACCCTCCTACAATTTACCACATACATAATCCAATCAAATTGTACTATTAAGTTACAAGCAACTTGTTAGATTTTCCTCTTTGATAGATTCTAGAGACTAATATAATATTCAGACAAAGCATAAGGCGTCTAATACCATTTATACATTTATCTCCTAATATACAATACGTCTCATACCACATTGAATAAGGTGAATGTTAAATTCTAAACTAGTGTCATATCAACTCAATAAAACCTAACATTAGATAATTATATAATAACAATTTCTACACATCCTACATGACCTACAGGGTTTTACGTGGATAGAAAATCCCCTTATGTAATAATGATTTGACTAATATGACTGTATTTCTGAACATATTATTTCAGTTAATATAAACATTGTTATAATCCTCGAGTACACATATCTCACCTGAACACACCATCAAATATTTGCTCAACACAAAACAAAATAGAGGTAAAACTTTTCATATTTTTGAAAAATAGAGTTTGAAAGAAAGATCAAAATGTATAAGTAGAGGTATAAATTGGTGTAAAATCTTGAATTCAATAAATCAACCTCGTTCAATATTGTGGATCAAACCTTGTTATTCATTTATAAGCACACACACATCATAAATTTTTAAATTGATGCAAGACCATTATGCATGAGACTTATGCTAATCCAAATACTTAGTTTGGCTTAAAAATTCTTTATCATACTTATGATAGAAGTTTGATCCACATTCCTATCATCAAAAGTAGTTAGGAGTTTCACTAAAGTAGAGTATCAACTACAACTTCTAATATAAAAATAACACATTGATTTCCTCTCACAAGATATCTAAAGGGAGTATGCACACACAATTGCCTCTGAATAGTTCAGATCTCTTTTATTTTGATTTCTCACCACACACCCAAGCACTACAATTCATTCCCAACTATTCAAAAAAATTTCTATATATAGAGATTGACAAGTAAATATAACAATGCCTAAAAGATCATTTCAATAAGGATCCTTAACTCATTAGTTTTGTCTTTTCTTTTAAATTTTAAAGGATTACCCTTATAAGGGTTGTAACTACTCAATGTTAGGAAGACACCCAATTTTCACAAGACTCATTCATATTTGGTTTAGTTGTTATCATTCAATAAATCAATTCAAGATCGAAGATAGAGTAATGGACAAACCCAATAGTTTGAATATACCTAAATGTCAATCTTTAAGCAATCTCAACAATGCATACACCCTTCGTAGGGGATTTCAATCACAAATTACATGCCTTTACTTATCTTGCCTAATGCCTTTATATGTAGTTCAAATCAATTATAGGTCATCAAATCAGTGCCAACCAAGTTTTGAAATCATTCAATTAACACTTACATTCAAACATCATTATGTGTGCAAGACTCTAAATATGCAAATGACCAAAACTTCTAACTCATCATTACATCAATCGTCACTCTTAGTTTGCCTAAGCCTCCTTATGGTATTTCACATAAACATTCACTTCACATGTGGCATAGCAAGTGTTTATCCAATTATAAAATTCAAATTGACATAGTGAATAACTTACATAAAACTAGAATAATTTTAAAAAAGATTGACATAGAACTAAGTTTTACTGTAAGGTTTCATATAAAGTGTTAGAGGAAACTAAGTTTGAATCATCTAATCATTTAGGTAATGTTCTCCCTAGTAACTCAAGAAATTTTCCTAAGTGAGAGTTACTAGCTTATCCACCATTTGATTTATCACCCAAACTAAATAATTATATCCTTTCATAGCCATCTAGAATCAAGTACCTCTATATTTCTATCTAAATATAATATTATTTGATTTCACTAAAATCCTTAGGTGAGTCAACACAAGGACTTTCAACTACACAAAGATACAAGTTAGAAAATGCAAAAATAAAAATTGTGTATATATAGAAAATTTTATATTTTAACGGATTTACTATTTTGAACTAAAATTGATGAAATAAATTTTATAAATCCTAAACCCTAAATAATAGAAATGCCATTGCATGCCACGTTCCCGAGGATCAAAGTTGAAAATTGGCAACAATAGTGACTACACTCCATTGAAAAACCAAAATTTCAAGAAGAGGTAGTGACTTACTCTCTAAAAGGACGTTTAAAAAAGTAATACGAATAACATACTTTCCAACACACTTTCTCTAACTCACCCCTTATTAGTTAAAATTTATTAAAAACTATAAAAATTATGTAAACCTCACTCTAAATATATCTCATTTTTTTATTTTTAAATTTTGACCAATAGTAAAAAATGTTAAAAAGAATATATTAGAAAATGTGTTATTACTTGTATCAAAATATATCTCAATATTAACAAGTAAAATACATTAAATAAATTAAGATACTTTTAGTGAAATTGGTTTATTAAAATTAAACAAACTGACTGTATATTATAACTAAATTACAATGAACAAATTCCTAACAAAAACATGAAGTAACAGAGAATAATTAAGAGCGTTAAAGCTATAATTTCTTCTTTACACATATTAGAAAATATCTTGGTTGGTAATTGATTATATTTCTGAAAACATATTTACGACTATATCTTTATTAATATAGATGAATGTATAAATGTCTTCTGTGTGGATAACCTTAAATAGTTCAATGTCTATAACCTTGCAAGACATCTAAATTAATTAAAATACGATAATATAATCAATTATAAAATTAAATTCTTAAATGGACAAATGCTCGATTTATAAAGAAAACAATATTGAGCTTCTTAGTCTACCCAACGTGAGATTCATAACATACACTGCACAGAGCCCCCACAAAAGCATATTCTGCAAATCATACGTAAACAGTAGACACATTTACCGGAGGGTAAATCTAGGATGATTGTTCTAATTAGTATGCAACAAACAGAAGAGCCGTACTCGAAAAACACATAACTTACACCTTTTCCACCTTTGTCAAAAATCTGAAAGATAACTGTCATCTTCAGAGTTACAAATTAGCGGTGCAAAATCCTCAACGAATGAACATCTTTCTGAATTCTTCATTGGATTTTGGCTTTTCATCCCCCTCTTCTGCTTTTGGTTTATTTGCAGTATAACCAAGTGGTCTAACATTTCTAGGCACGGCAAAAGTATTCTTGCCTTTAAGCTGGATGTTGTCACTTCCTTCCTTTCTAGAAGAGAACTTTGCATCCTTTACATCTCCCTTGTAAGTATCATCAGTTTCTTTGGATACTGAACCTTTTATACTGGAACGATCAGTGGCATGTCCTGCAAAAATCCAGTCCAAATGTTAGAGAAAAATATATTACATGTACTGACATTAACGAAGCCAAAGGTTATTACATTAACCAAAAAGGGAAGGGAGCATTTGTAACAAATGTGAGTGAAGGATGCCCATGGAGCAAAAACAATGGCTGTGAAATACAAAAATATATGCTTTTTGACACGTATGTCAAAGAACCTGAGACAACCAAAACCAAACTAATAACCCAAAAAGTATTTTTATGACTCCATAGTTTCTGATATTGTCATGTTTGATCATAAGTCACCTAACTTGGTTAATTGGAATCATTATGTCACAACAACCTTCATATTTCTATACAAAGTATTAAGTATACATCCTGATCACTAGCAGAGTATTGCAAAGTGCAAGCTGATTCAAGAATGCACCCCTCCCAAAGTAAGAACTTTCAAAGTTTACTTTGCATACCATGTTCATGAAATGTTTTTGGATTAAAAGATTCCCTTCCACCTCGCTTTGGGTCAGATCGAGCAATACTTAGCTTCTTCCCAAGTAACTTGTGCTTGTTCTTAGCTACTGCAGCAGCAAGGTGCTCATCATCCAAAAAGTCCACATACGCTAGTCCCTTCATCAATATCAAGATAAACATATAGTTACAGTGCATGGGTATGGTCACAGTAAATGGGCATATACCATTGTAAAATGACTTGTTTGACAAGGTTACGTGGATTTTTCTGAGGGCTTTGTCAATAAAAAATAGAGTACAATAACCTAAAAGTAGCCATTCTGCTAAAAATGTGTTGTTATTATCCTCAATAAAAAGATGGTACAAATGAAAGGCAAAATATATGAAATAACAAGGTTTTGGAACTGAATAAGGCACCAATCCAGGCCATACATGCACCCAACTAAAGAACTAAAGAAACTCAGTAAGGCAGCTTTCATCATATTGAAATCCACTGTAAGTTTTCTAAAGTCAACAGGCTACTATACTTTCAAAATCAATTAAGGCACAATAATAAAATAACGACAAAGAATAAGTCATTTGATACCCTTGATTTTCCAGTGAACTTGTCATGTAGAATACGGATGGCAACAATTCCACTAACATCACTGAAGAAATTACGAATATGTTCATAATTTGCCTGCAATAACACAGCGCATTAATCACACGACCACACACAGGGATAGAGAGGTTGATGACAGTAATGTCTACCGTAGGATGAAGATTTGATATAAAAGCAGTGCACTGGTCAGAGTATGCCCTGTTTTTTACGTGGCTAAACTGTTGTTCACTTGGGTTATCATCAGATTCGTTGTTTTTCTGATTGACCCCTTCCATTTCTGTCTTCTGAGAATTCTGCAATTGAATTTTACTCTCCTCAGGTGCTTTCTTCAGATTTCTACCAGCATCTCGCAGTCGCTTTGAGGGAGACTGTTCTTCAGGTATATCTGACCCCAGCTTTCTCTTATCACGAGCATTTCTCTTTGAATTCTTTTCACTTTCCTCTACTGACTTGGATTCCTGCTGTATCCTAAATAAGTGTAGCTCTTCTAGCCGAGGGGTAACCTAAGGAAAGGCAGTTCTCAAAAAGAAAAAATAAATCAGCAGATCCAAATAATTATTACCTATATTCTGCCCATCCATAAACACATTCATAGAGAAGGATTGACCATTTCATTAACAGTTAAATGACACATGATGACACCAGAATATCTGTTATTATTAACATTTCATTTTTAATAAAACTTAAGCGCCCAAGAGTATAAGTTTTGACATAATGGCAAGGTTGTCGCCTTACGCTGATAGTCACCAGTGGTAAGTCTCTGTACACCTAGCTGGGGTAAGGTTCATGATAATTCCTAGATACAACCTCTTTGCTAGAGGGATAAGGTTGTGTACATCTACCCTCCCTAGATCCCACTAGGTGGGAGGGAAGTTTCCAGTTGTTCCTTTTATGTTTCTGAAGAAGGAAACCTCATTGATAGGGATTAAGTCTGCTAAATGATTTATATAAAACATTCTAACTACAACAGATAATTGACATAAAACTTCAGAGAACCATACACCAAAGCTACTAGCCATTAAGGCTGGTGGATAACCCAAGACCATAGAAACTCTACTTCAGAATCACATACTTCTAATTTGGTACACCAGTCTCATAACTAAAAATAACGCATTAAAACTTTCACTATTTAGAAATATATTCAATTTATAGATTGAATTATGAATAAATCTTCAAATATTTATGGCGTTTAGTTTGATTGATAGAACTGATCAGCTACAAGGGAAAACATTAGGATACCATGATTCAATGAGTAAAACATACTTCCAAATAATCATTGGATATGTCTCCCTTATCATGCAATATAATTGCTGTAGACAATCTCTTATTAAAGCTTAAGCAGTAAGGCAGAGACTACTTTTATATCTCTAATAGATATTCTATATAAGCACAGATAATGTGGTGTTGTTAAAAAATAATGAAAATGGAGTTAAGAGAGGAAAAGTTGTACCTTGTGTAATGCATGATCAAAATCTTCCAACTTGCCAAATTCCCTCTCAAAGCGCAACCATGAGTGGCATATGTCCTGAATTATTCTGTTTTTTTAGGAACAGAAGGTATCATCTAATCCAAACAGTATTGTGCGGCATGTAAAATCACCAATAAAATTTTCATAACAAAATATGCACAATCTATTTTTATCAATTTCTCAAGGAAAAAATAGAAAATGAGAAGATTATTATGACTATCGTAGGAATTTTGTAATTATAATAAGGTTGTAACTTTTAAATAGTGAATTGAATATCTTCATAATTACTATAATTAGATAACTGTATATTCTGTATTAATGATTTCTATAATAAATACATGGTCCATTTTATAGTCTAAACAGACAGATATCCTATGTTTCTCCTTTTTCAGTATGATATCTAGAGTCAAACGTGGGATAATTCTAATCCATGACTACCAAGTAGGCCCACTGCTCACCTGTGCAATTTCTTTTCTTCTGAAAATGGTGCTTTGCATACAGTTTTCTGAATTTTCACTTGTTTGGCTACTATGCTGCCGTTCATTATTTTGTTCTGATTTATGTTTTGGCAATTTTTCCAGCAAACACCCTCGGAATGGGTTCACCCTACATAGTTCAAATCGTCCGCAAAATTTCTTGCCGAACAGACATCCCATGTGCATCTTCTCCTCATCGAGGCTTCCAACGTCAAACTTTGGCTTAAAAGTCAAGGTTATGTTAATTATCTCACCACTAAGGAGGACTCCATTGATGTCACTGAAAAATCTAAATGGAGTAAAATTGATGACCAGCTCTGTAGTGTCATCAAATTCACTATTCATCCCTCTTTGAAGCCAATTTTTGCCCTCATGAAACATGTGTCTGTTTGCACTGGCTAAAGACTTGTATACAAATAACACTCAGCGCCTATACGGGATAGTCAAAATCTCATGAATGCTGTTGCCCCCAAAGATTTGATGGCTCCATGACTAAATATTTGGGTCAAGTGACCAGATTTTTCATGACTTGGATGAAATCTCGCCTCTTGCTACCTCAACAAGGACCTTAAAAATAGTCAAAAACTTATTATGTAACTTGCTTTGTATGATATGCCTGCAGAGTATTCTGATATTCCCAATCAAATTTTGAGTTAGTCTATTGTGCCCACTATGGACTCCACATGGTCCACCTTCCTACGGTACTAGATGTGTCTACATTGTCCGATGCTTTACCCTATATTGTCGTCCTCCATGAGTAACTAATGTTTCCCAATCAACACCCGTTGAGTCTGCACCTTCGACCATGTCTCCAGCACCTACTCCTTCACCCACACAGTGATTTTCTTTGATGGTTTGAGGATCATCAAGCCTTTGGTTCCATTGCTTCTGTTGTGCACAAAGATAATTCTTTTGTTAGTCTTTTAACTCTTCCTCTCTTGACACATGGGTCCTTAATTTTGAGGTCATAGACCACGTTACTAATAATAAATCTTTTTTTGTACTATTTCTACATGTAATTATCTACCCTCTGTCACTATGGCTTACAGGTCCCAAACAGTCTAAGGGTATCACTATTATCCACCCTCTTCCCTCCCTTTCCATTGATCCATTGATTATGTTCTTTATGTTCATGGATCCCCTTTTAACTTAATATTCAGTAGTTGTCTCACTTGTTCTACAATTTCTTTCACTAAAGATTCAATTTTCCTACAAGATCAGAGTTCTGGGACAGCATCCTTACTCATGGGAGAAATGTTGTGTACATATAACCCTCCCAAGCAATGTGGTCAAATAGACATCCTATCAAGGATTTAAAGGAGGTGAAAGATGGTAAATCACAAGATTTTACCAAAACTATAAAAGTATATTCACAATTAGAAGCATTAAAGTTGGAATCCAGATCAGATATATATTCCATCATGTTTTATTCTCTCTATCATTACCTTTGTATGTACAGCCTTTTCTTTACCTGAATTATTTCCTTATTTGTTCTTTTCATTATTTTCTGATAAATTAGAAATATCTATTTAGCTGATTACGAGATGAAATGTAGACATACAATCCATATTTTTCAGAAGTTTCTGTTAACTAATAAAAATAGAATGATTCTCTGAATTCCAACAGTAATATAAGTGTGATTTTTGTTCATACCAAGCATGTCCTGCTTTTCCATGAACAAAATGAATCAGGAGACCTGCAACCACAACAATTACCAAAACTGTAGCTAAGGCTCTCACAAGAAGCATATAACCCAAAGTCCAAATCTCTGTCTTCAACATTTGATGTACTTTTTTAATCTTTTGCACCAAACCTTGGTTCTTTGAAATTTCTATTTGCAGAAAGGCAAGTCTGGTTCCAACAATTCCAATTTGTGCCTCTATTTTGGTTTCCACTAGATCAGTTTCTTCTCCATCACTGTGTTTCAGGTTTTTCATTTTCAATTATTCATTTTGAATTTTACTTCTTTGCTCCTTTGACCTTCATCGTCCTTTCTGCTGTCTTGCACCCAAGATTCTTGTTAGTCATCCCCAACAAATACAAATAAATCAGGATCACATTCAAGTTGGAACCTCTTGAGTACCACCACAAAATTGCACCATGTCACATCTTGATTGCTTGCTTTCCTGCACTACCACCACATAAGCACCTCCCAACGTTCCTTACCAAACTAAGCCCATGATAACTTCTTCATTTATAGTATTCCTTTCTCCTCAAAATACTGTTCTACATTGATCAGCCACCAATAGGCTTCCTTCCCATCAAACTTTGGAATCATATTCAAGATACCCACCACTCCAAGATCAGAGCTTTAATACCCCGTTGATAGAAACTTTGTATCTTTATTAGAAAAAAATGGGGAGAGAACTCTACAATTCAAAGAACAGAATACACACACTGCAGAACATTGAGGGTCTACACCTCCCAATATCAAAAGGCCCTAATTTCCTCTTACTAATCAAATGATATTCCTCTCTAGTCTCTAATCTCCCCTCTTATTTATAGGCAGCATAACTAACTAAATCAGTAAAGTACCTAACTAATGGATAACTAGCTTATTTTAACTAACTACTAATGAGGGTTATTAACACAAGGATACAAAATCAAGAACTATTCAATGATAGCTCGATCCTTTTGTAGGAATGGAATTCCTTTAAAAGTGTGATAGAAGTGCTTCAAATTGATGGTTGAGGCTATTGGAAATTATGCACCTCATTTGAAGGTTCAAAGCTATCATGAGTGAAAGTTCTAGTCCTTAAAAAAGAGTTGGAATACCAAAGGAATTGTTGAAGGGTCATGAGGAAGATTAGATAAATTCTGGATGTCCAACTATGTCAAATGCTTAGACAAATAGGAAGAGTAAAACCTTGATATGATAATATTTTTGGTGAATTTTCCATCAGGGTCAATGTTTATGGAGAGTGTTCAGCTTTTGGATAATTTTGCTGAAGAGATTGGAAGAAAACAGTGGTAAAAGTGATCACAAACAATGGAAGTAATTATGTTGTAGCTGGTAAGAGTTATTCTTAATAGTTTCACTTTCACAATTTTAATTGTTACTTAGTTCCTCATGTAATGTTTATTGATTTTGATCATAAGTAAATTTTTACAAGCCAAAAGGAGTCATTTGTTTTGGACTCCATGTGCTGGAAATTGGCTAGACTTAATGCTATAAGACATTGGAAAGATTGCTAAAGTTAAAAAGAGCAATAAATAGATGTATCAATCTTGTATGATTTATTTATAATTAGTCATTGGCTATGAACACACGAGCAACAAAAAATTGGTTAAACATGGAGTGACAGTTTTCTACCATATTCCTCACTTTGTAATGGTTGCATAATCTAAAAAAATCTTAGTTATTCACTTAAAATGAATGACTAAATCTTAGATATGCAGTTTTGAGGATGTATTTTTATTTAAATTATGCACAATCTATCATTTAGATTGAATTTTATCAAGTATTTTACCTGTGTTGGTTAAGTTACTTGATTTATGTGTTTTTTATGCAGAAATGGATTTTGAAGTTGAAAACATGGATAATCTAAAAGTTGGAATAGAGAGAATGGAGCCTAAGGGATTTTTCAAGCTTAAAATTGGAAGAATAAATCTTAAACAGCAAAGTGCACAACCTGTCTATGTCAAGGAATACACCTGTATTCTTGTCTGATTTAAAGGAGCTGAAGAAACAAGCAAAGCAGCAGCAAACACAACCAGGTTGTGTCGCAGGATACATCTGTGTTTGCAATACTGACAGCATTTATTAAAATAAATTAGACTATCTCACTACAGGCCCAAAAGTTGTATTGAAGGCTTGTCTATAAAAATCCCAAAAAAAAAAAAAAAGAAGAAAAAAGGGAGTTCAGACTTTTGGAGACTCTTTAATATTCAAACCTTGGGTCTTTTAGTGCATAGACATTCAAACAGAGAGCACAACAGTAGACCAAAATTACACAACCAAAAAGGAGCCCCGATCAAAATTCTAAGAAATCAAAAAGACAGTGGAGACTTTATAGATAGGGTCTCAAAAGAACATCTTTAGGATCTACAAGAACATCATATTCTTTAGAGTAGAGATTAAAATTCATCTTTTCTACACTAATATTTTACTCTTGTTCTTTACATTAACTTTTTTAGGTTTGTAATCTGAATATGAGTGAATAGCATTGTTGTTAAAAAAACGGTTATGACAGCACCATGGCAGGTAACGGTGGCATTTTTCAACCAAACTGCCACAACCATGCCAAAAAATGGCAGTTTCATTGGCGGCGCCACGGCAGCTGTTAGGTGCCTGTTGGCAGCCATGGCAGAAATGGCATTTTTCACAGGAAAAATTGGGTTGAGCCACAAACCCAACCCATTCCAAAGAGAAAACCCACGAGCCCAACCCTAAATCGCGTAATCGCATCTCTTCTTTGTTTCACATCTTCATCGCTATTGGGCCGCCATGGAGCAGTGGTTGGCCACGTGATACTTGCTGTCGTGAAGTGCAGGCCCTAATCACAAATACTTCGTTGCATTTTTTAAGCTTAATGGAGAATGGGAGTGAAAGTCTGATCTTGCCCTTGCCCCAATGTCGTTTAGGGCTTTTTTTAAGGGAAAAATGGACTTTCATCCCACTTCAAATTTTTTCCTTTTCTTCTTGAGCAAGTGGTACGTATGCATGTTCTCTCTCTTGCTCTGTTTTTCTTCCTTCTTCTCTAAAGCCAACTTCTCCTTCATCTCCTTCACCATTTTTTGCCAGAGAAGACATCCTTTCCAGCTGTAGGGCCCTGTTTTTCGGCACCTATTTTCCATTTTGCTCCTCTGGGCTCTGTTTTTCTGCTTCATACAGTGCTCTATTTGTCACTCTCTTTGCGTCTATTTTGCTTCCTCTGGTGCTATGTTCTTCTTCAAACAGTGCTCGGTTTCTCACTCAGTCAGCATCTTCAGTTTCCCTCCTTTATAGTTTTTCCCTCTCACATTCTGTTTTACTACCTCATTTTTTTCAATTTTCCTTATTATTCTGATTTCTCGATTCTATTTTTCTGTTTTCACTTCCAAGTTTCCTTCTTCATTTTTATTTTTACTTCTTTGTTTTTCTGTTATATCGTCAGCTTTTTCTCTCTATTTTACATTTTTATGTAGTTAGTTTTCCAGTTTTATATCACATTTTGATATAAAACTATACACACACACACTCTTCCGCCATAACCTGCCATGGCATCCACCATAATTTTATGGCAGTTTTTTTGCTGTCTCCCATGACGTTATCATGAATTTAATATGATCTTTTATAAATTATACTTTCTTGATTGAATTCTTGGTACACTTAATGCTTGTGAATTTGTTCGACTTCTTATTTACATGATCTCAATTGTCAAAGAAAGGACTAAAAGGTAAACCTTATCATTGGAAACCCCAAGAATGAACCTGAAATTCTAGACAGAGAACTACACTAGATTTCTCGAGAAATTACAAATCACCATAGCACTTAATGACTTTAATTAGATATAATTACTACAAAAGTAGGAGTTAGTCTAATTAAATGTTATTGTATTCTGAAAGTAAACAATAACTACTTTAGGGTAATTCACCTTCGAAATAAACCAAGAATTAATTTAGAATCTATTTTAATTAAGTTCATGAGTTTCTAGAAGTTTGTTAGAATTTGAATTAATTTAATTTTAATTAATAGTGTTTTTAATTATTTTGTCTTTTCTATTTTCTATTTAATTCGTTTAGTTAATTGGTTGTGTTTAAATATTTAAATCACAATTATTCAATACTTAATAGCTTAATTGCTGTAGATACAATAACTCTTTATATTATTTCATATGACTGGATGTATGGAGTACATAATCCAAGTTTGCAAAATCTTGCTATTAAAGTACTGAGCTTAACGTCCAGTTCATTGGGATAAGAGCATAACTAGAGCAATTTTGAACATGTAAATTAATATTAAATTATTTAAATTTATAGAACTTCATATAATAATTATTATTAAACTCACATAAATTTTTATTATTATTATATAGATTTATTTGTCTCTAATTTATATGATGATAATCCCTCTCATCCAACCGAACTTTTAACCAGGACCACTGCCTAATCAAATCTAATTACACTAACAAATAAATAGTTTCAATATTTTCTAGAAATAACATAAAGCTGCTTATACCTCTGAACCAGTCCCAGAAAACCTTTTACTGTAGCATCTCTTGTATATGGACCTGGCTTCATTTACGTGACCCGATTCCACTTCCATTGCTATATAACCTTTCCATGCCTCCAACATTGAACCACTGCCATGGGGGGAGGGGGGAATAAAAAAGTAGTTTAATATTAATTTGATTTGATGAATAAAACTATATCAAAACATTCAATTTTAAAAAGAATTAAATGAACATTATCAAACCATATCTTAAGACAATTCTCCCAAACTCCACGAGCTGCAGTTATGTCTTTCCCACGTTTAGTTTCTAAATGGGCCCAATAAGCATGTAAATGTAACAAACCCTCTGTATTCTTCATGTATGGAGACAGGTAATCTGATGCACGCTGGAAATAGTAAATAGTTAGAATATCAAAAATACTACATAAAGCACTAAAGCAGATGAATTGATTAGTTAATACAAACCATCTTCTAGCAACACAATTTTATGTTGTAGAAAAGATTAATGCCACTTTCCTGAGAAAAGCAACTTTGCTAATAGAGACTTAAGAATTTCAAAACAACACAAATATTAACAAGAGTGATAAAAGGTTTAAGGGAATTGATAGCAACTCAAGACAGAACAAGAAAGAATTTTCTTTGTTTGAAGAAGAATTGTTTTGTACACTCTCAATGGTGTCCAGGAGCTAGGCTCCTCAGAGAACTCTGCCAAAAACAAATGAAAAGTCTACACATACCCCTCTCCCCTCTTCTAACCACTATTTATATCACATGTTACAGCCTAAAATAGGTGCCAATCTTTAACAAACTAGTAGCTGGTCCTATATTCCAATAGGACCCTTATTCTTCCTCATTCTATAGTAAACCACCCAACCACTAGGCTTGGTAATTGAGACAATTGGACTGGACCTGGACCTCCAACTAAGGGATCCCGGATACTCTGTACCCTATCGGGAATATATTATTAAAATGAGTGGGGACCAAAGAATTATCAAGTATGTATGTCAAGGGCTCCCCTGCTAAAGGGTAAGCTTAAGTTAACAAGCGGATCCTTAAAAAGAAAAGAAAAGAATATTAGACATCAAGTAGAAGTTTAGAAGGCTTAAACAAAAGCAGCCACCACACTATCATTGACATCCTTCTAGAAGTGTATAAACAAGGCTCTAAGTCAGTAGCATGTTCTCTTTCATGGTTCAAAATTCTCATAATTTATAATAGAAATTTGACATTTATAACAGTCATGGTTTCAAACTAAAGAAGTTCAATCACAATCAAATTTGTTACTGATTAGAATTAGAATTAAGAAAACTTGCACAAAATGTCAATCCACAAGCAATCAAACTGTCTGAGAGTATGCTAGTTTATGTGAATTTTGCCCAAAGAACTGCATTTTGTGCCTGAAATACTAGAGTAAATTTTGTAAAACAGAAAACGTTATGCACACTTCTTTAAGTTACATTTTTTTAATAATGCTCCTTTTTTATTGGTTTTTCATCATTATATTAGTATTATAATAACATTCATATTTTCTTAGTTTGTCAAAGAAACACATAATGGAAGATCATATTATTGACTAAAATGTAGGTAATGGATCTGAGTTTGGATACATATGTACCCAGTGGGTAAATGTATGAAATATTGAAGTTGCTACCCATGCAAGTACAAGTCTAGGTATGGCAATTTTTTAAACATGTAGGTAAGACTATGGGCATTGTAATCACCTACCTTGCTGTCCTTACATGCCAGTTCTGTTTCTGCAAATTTGTCACTCACCCTGTTTGCTGGTTCTGCTACTCATTGGATTTGGTGATAAGTTCTGTGTAGTTTGATTGGTTGATTTTGTATTAAGGTTGATTGATTCTGTGTGGTCAATTGAGTTCTCATTAGGGATTTTTTTAAAGATCATGAATTCATGACTCGTGTTTAAGTTTAACCAGTGTTGTTAAATGTCAGTTATGGCGGCGCCATGGCGGAATGGCATGGCGGAAATGACAGAGGCCGTTACGAAGATGGTGTGGCGTGGCGGAATAACGTGGCGGTGCCATGGCGACCGTTACGAGCATGGCGGTAACAGCCGGCCATGGCGAAAATCGTTAGAAATGGCGTTTTTTTTTTAAAATATGGTTTTTCTGCACTTTTGGGCCAGATCCGACCCGACCCAGTTTAGAACCCAACCATAAATCCAGGTTTTTTCCCTCTCTTCTCCTTACGATCTCACTCTCCCTCTCTTTGCGATCGCACTCTCTCTTTCTGCGATCTCACTCTCCTCTCTGCTCATCTCTTTTCTCTCTGCCCTCCATCAAGATTTCACTCTCTCTCTCTCTGCTGAGATCTCTTTTTGTCTTGGGCTCCTTGGGTTTTTGTTTTGGTGCATTTGGGTCTCTATTTCCAGCGACTGCAGCTGCAGCTCCATTTCGGTCCTGCTGCTGTGTGATGCTACGCCGCTGCTGTTCTCTCTCTAGATTCTTTCGGTGTTTATGTTGTTGGGGCTGTTTTTGCTTGTCAATTTAAGTGCTAAACTTACGGCTTTATCTTTTAGTCTTTTTTAAGGGAAAAAAGACTTTTTATCTTTTAAAAATAAACTGAATTTTCTTTTTTACCCTTAAAATGACACTGTTTTAAATTTTTTTAAAAGGGTAAAATAGTCTTCTCATTAAAATATATTATCTAACTTTTCTCTTTCCTTCTTCCCATCTCTCATCTTCATCTTTGCTCTTGTTTTAGTGGGCATCTGGCTTTATTTAGCTTCTCTCATCTTCATATTTATACTGTTTTACATCCCCTTTCCGATCCTACTTAGAATTTCGATTTTGATTACCATACTTTACATCACAAAATCAAGAAAATATTATTCAAAGTCTTGATTCTCTCATTTTCCTCTCTCAGTACTTTTAATCCAAATAATATCAACCACTAGGAACTATGAGCATGAATCTGTTTGACTCTCAAGAAACATAAAAAAATCTTAATTCACTTTTACTATGGTCTATGGGTGGTGTAATTGTTGCAAAAATTTATGGTGAGAAAATGCTTTTTAAAAGAAGGATTAGAAGGATTGACAATGATAATTTGGGCCATAAATGAAGAATTTGATAGGTAGACATTAGCTGGTTAGATAAATAGTTAGAGGTATATTTAGTTAATCAAAGAGTTAGTTAGTTAGTTGATAATTGCATATTTTGTATTGAATTATATTTTGGATTGTAGGTTATGCTACATATATTTTGAGTTAATTATTTTCTATCATTTTCTGTTATCTATAGTATTTTTTTTATATATTTTATTAAATCCGCCATAACCTGCCATGGCGGCTGCCATTACTTTATGGCAGTTTTTTTTATTTCCGCCGTCCGCCATTGATAACATTGAGTTTAACCTTTTGAACTTATGATCTGGTTATTTATGTATCATTTTAGCCTATGCGTCATACTTTGTTGTTGTGATTTTTTTATTATGAAGTTGTGATGTTGAACATTTATTATGCATGTGATATTAAATTCTGTCTGGATACCATGATAGCTTTTTAAAAAATAGTTTTTTTTTAGGCAAACTCTTACAAACTGAGTCTATGGATACTCCATAAGTATACAGACTCAAGTTTGACAACCTTGATTGATTATAGTAATAACAAATGACTTGAGAGTTGAGATCAAAATTAGTATGAACTACTATTTTTTTTCTTCTAAAACCATTGCCTTGCCAGAAATTTAGCTTCATAAAGATGTTAAGATTTAAGATGACCAGAAGGGTAATTAAAGTGTAAATACAGCAATTACTAAAACCATTTCCCACCTCAACCACACTTTTGTGTTTTGTCATGAGCGAAGTCTTTAGGAAATCCAATAGATCTAGGTCTATTTTAAGAGCTTCTCATGGTCTCTCCTACCTCAAACTATTGGACTACCCTAAATCTGATCCACTTTTACTGCACTTCTATTGGTCTTCTCACATGGCCAAACTACTGTAGCTGAATAAATATTGGTTGGTGGAGAGAGAAAGAAAAGCTCAAGCAGAGACAATCAAAATCAACGGAGCAGAAGTACAACTGACCTATTTTTAGTTTTAACTCCAACATAGCTTTAGTGAAAATAAATATAACCAACCTGAAAGGTCTCCCTTAATATTTTATATTCCAAATCCTCTTCACTGGTGAATGCCATTCTTCGCCTTAAGCCATCTACCCGGGTGAGAAACAAATCAAGATACTGAAACGGTATAAATAAAACAGTTTAAAAATTCAATATTTTCTAGAGAATCATGGAAACTAAGGGAAGTAGGGGAATGGAATCCGAAAACTATAACATCCCAAGCACTATGGAGAATCATACCATCAAACTTTATTGAATATTGGTCATACCTCATCGAGAGTCGAAAAGGTACATTGTAGGGACTTCTCAAAGACCTGAAACCATTGGTGAAATTGCCTAAATGACTCAAGCAACTATGAAAAACTCTACCTCACATTTTTTATAATCAAAGAATTCATTAAGATAAACGGAGGCACATCAACCAATACTGCACATACAAAAGGAGAAACATCAGCCTCCATCATTTACAAAGTAAAATCAGCGTACTCAAGTTATACTATACTACCTCCATTCTTATTTATTTGTCTAGAGAGAGAAGAAATTACACAAACCAAAGAATCCAATAATTTTGTCAGAATTAATCACTAAACTTATTAATGTACCCCTAATTAGTTAATAGGTTTCCTTACGACTCTTGAACTACCCAAATAGTATATATATTTTATATTAACAAAAGGACATTAGTAGAAGAATAATAATTAATATTATCTTGAACTTCTACATGGACAAATAAATAATAAAAAACTTTTCTTCTCTCTCTCAATGTTATCAACGGCGGATGGCAGGTCATAGCAGACAACTAAAAAGTTATGGCGGATGTGTGTGTGTGTGTGTTAACCTGTAGAATGTATATATAAGTTTAAGCCTCTAACTTAATGCCTTTAAAGTAACAAAACATTGAAAACCAAATAAAGTTAGAACTGAATGAGGAGAGATGTAGACAAAATAAACAAGAAAAAATGAACAATATAGCTGGAAACTGAAACCTATAGCAAAACAGAGCACTTGGCGGAAATGAAGAACAAGGGTCAAAGAACAATGGTTTGCCAAAAACACCATAAACTGGCCAGAAAACACTAGCCACCCCCATTTAAACTTTAAAGCCGATTTAGTTTCAACCTGAAAACCCCAAAATACCCCTGATACATGGTCCTGCAACTTTAAACATTTAGGACATTTTTGGGTTTTCAAAAACCTCACAATAGAGTCTAAGACACATGCTAAAAACCGTGATTTGCCACTGCTGCAGCATCCTCGAGGAAGAACAGAGATGTTGAGGATGAAAAAGAGGGAGACTTTGAAACAAAGAGAGAGATGCAAGTCACGTGCAAGGAAGAAGAAAGAAATTTTTAGGGTTGAGTTTGTGGGTCACTCTGGAATGGATCAGGTCAAAGGCTCAACTCATTTTTTTCTCCCACAAAAACCACCATTTCTGCCATGGCTACCGTTACCGCCATGGCCGCTGAGCACGTAACAGCGGCCATGACACTGTGATAGGTCCAATAAGTCTGTCAATGAGTTTCTAAGTATTGGGCCACCAGGCCTAAGGTCGGTCTGGAAGGCGTATACTAGAAGAAATAAGGCACAAGAGGATGGGAATGCCAATGTGGCAAAAGTTAGTTAGGAGAATGTGTTATAATATTTGGAGGTACATAGGATGGGGGGATAGCATGATGGAGCAGGCTTTTCCATTAGTGGGTTATTTGCACAATGAGGGACCTTGCAGCGATTGCTTCTTCTTTCAGAGCTATTGCTCTGGTGTATTTGCAAAATACTGTTGCTTGATCTTTGAGTCCAGTTTTGGGCTCTTTATTTGGTATTGTATTTGATTCAGTTAATTGAGTTCTTATCACACCGCCATTGTAAACCCATCATTTTCTGCCATGGTTGTGGTGGTTTGCTCTCTCTAGACAGATAAATAGGAATAGATATAGTATTACATACTAACCAGCCTTGATAAAAATTTGACTATTTCAGGCATTACTGACATTGGCTATTTTGTCTACTACAAATGTCATCATATGACATATGCCTTCAAGAACAAAACCCCAAGGTTAGGTATGCAATAGGGTAAACATTATCATGCAGCAATATTCCATCCTCTTGTGATAGAATATATAGAATAGCAGTCAAATAAAGGAGGCATTAGAAAGAAAAGTGCATCTTTTCACCAAGAACTTGCCTATCGTTATTAAATGAGAAATGACACTATTTACTCATTAATAAACCATTAAACCTATTGAGGATTAAAAAACATTAATTGGATTTTCAAATTTTTAATTTGCATCAAGAAAGGGGAAATTTTGCTATGAAAGTGAATTGTATCCAAGAACATACTTCAGCCAAGTCCTTCTCAGAAGCACGACTACGCTCCAAGGAAAGCATATACCGAACCCATAGTTCTCCAACCCAAGGACAGTTCTTTGTGGCCCTAGAATAAACATTGCTGACAATATTACCAACCTAGAGAAAGAAGCAAAAGGAGAAAACTCCAAGTTATAAATTTGCACTTTGGAAATGGATGTTCTGATGTGAAAAGGATGATAACAATGGTGAAGTTTATAACCTTCAAAGTCTTGTCCAAATAACGAGTATAATCAAGCCAGAGATCAGGTGATAAAGGAAAGTCAGTAATAGCTCGCTCATACAGAACTTGAATTCTGGCTGGTGTTCCAGAAGACTGCTCAAATTTCAAATAGTTCTGCAATACAATTCTCTTCATTAAAAGGAATTTCACATGCTTAAGAATAACAAATAAACAAGACTCTAAAATTCTATCTCTTGCAAGTAAATAGTCATATTTTGACTTGGATACATACAATGTAGTGTTGTAGTCTTTCTGAATCAGAAATATCAAAGTTTGAAATATGATCTTCAAGAGGAAGACGAGCATTATACATCTCCAAGGCCTTCTGGTATGATGACGAAACGTGAGGATAAATATCAACCAAGTCAATGGATTCAACAGCTTGAAGATTTCCTTGTTCCACCTCCCAAGTCTTATAGGCCATAAGTGTAGAACCCAAGTCAGCAAGGGGAACAGACAATTGGCGATGGAATAAACTTCGAATTCGTTGAACTTGCTTTTCTTTGGCCTGGAAAATTAGAAAGAAATTTAAATGCTCAACTGAAGCAATCCATAATGCCACCAAATGCTTCAATATGATGCATAAAGCAAGCTAAACCAAATTTTTTTGGTAAATGCAATAGTTAACCTCTGCATCAAGTTTTTCTTTGGCAGATCGAATTTATTTGTTCTTTAACTCTTCAACAAACCAAAATTAAATCATGTCCTCAATTAAACTTTCACATTTAGCTAAGCCCATATTTCAGCATTCAAGGCACTACCTCAGCAATGACACTTTTTTTTTCACTGCAACCACATTGTTCTGTCCTTCAATTGTATCTACCAAGTTAACAGGCTAAACCAAAATTTTGTTGATAAATGCAAAAAGTCAATCTCCAAATCCCGTTTCTCTGTGGCTGCTACTTCTTTCAGTTTTTCAACAAACCAAAAATTAAACTATGCTCTCAATTGAATTTTCACATTTATCTCAGCTAGTATTTGTGAATTCAAGGCACTACCTCAGCAATAACACATTTTTTGCTGCAACTACACTATTATGTCCTCAACCATGTCAGCCAAGTAATACCACTAGTTTCTAAATTCTAATTGATAAAAAAATGTTTAACTCTGTCTAAAAAAGGAATGCATACGAGATATAAACCATCTGCCTAACTAATCAACATCCACCCTTCCTTTGCAGATACTTTCATACAAAAATACTTAACCGGATGCAATGCTTGCTTGGAGTATAGAACAGAACATTGTATTAACATGTAAAATTCTCACAGAGCTCAACTAATATCTGCATATGATCTGTGGTAAAGTTAAGGAAAATGTTGACCTGTGTATCAGTTTCATTGATGGTTAAAAGTATAGACTGCTCATATTGCCTGTATGCTTCCCATATTTTACTGCCTTCCACAACATGCAAACCAGCGGCAGTAAGTGCACTCTCAAACAGATCCCTTGCCTTCAAAATACCAGTAGGTGAACATTGGTGTACCATTGGATCAAACTCTAGGACGAAATTAATGTAGTCACACCAGAGAGAGACAGACTGAAATACAGCATGATAAAACAGATGATCAAAACTTTTGAAGGAATAATTTGATCATAAATCCTGAGGGGAAAAAAAAAGATTACTAGTTCCCCTACCATACCTAAACCCTTAGCTACGGTTAAAAAGAGAATTTGGTTCTTAACTAGGAAAAGAAAAAACAAATGAAGTGCTCCAGCAGAAATCAATCATCTAAAGCAGGCAGCATATTGAAAAACAATAACCAACCAGATAATCAAACAGCCCACGTTCATAAAGCTTCTGAATTCTAGAGAAAGCCTCGGGTCTGCACCGTAAAAGCAAAGAGTGTGAAAAAAGTAGGTCAATAAATCCCCATAGGACAGGGAGAAGAAAAGCAAGAAGAATGGAGTCAAGGAAAGAGAAAAAAGACCGAGAAGCAGTGTTGAGAGACAGCTCATCGTTGATCCATTCGAGCCACATTGCCGGGCTCAAAGGAAAGCTTTCACTCATAGTTTCCCTGGCTCTCGCCAGTTTATCAACATCACCCATTCTCCTCAGAAGCTTTATATACTGAGAAAGATGATAATCCACACCAGGCCAAGGAAACAAGAACGATTAGATCGAACTTAGAAAAAGGGAAATTGGAAAAGAAGAATTGTATTGATTGGTAGTGCAGAGCTGAAGAAGAAGGAAATTACTTGTAAATGAGCATCGTAGTTCGAGGGGTTAGCAGCAAGTTCAGTCTCGAGGGATTCAAGTTGAAGGTTCTGCTGAGCTTCGTCCTCTGAATCAGAATCGTCAGAATCAGACATGGCTCTGTCTTTCTCGCGCTCTGCTTCTACTGTCGGGGTTAGGGTTTCCGTTTCATCCATCCCGACGATAGGCTGGTAGAACGCAGAACCGTTCCGCATCATCACTTTCTTGTATTCACTGTTACCGTATTTATTTATTTATTCAGAGATATAGATATATATGCATAGATGATATGCTATAAATTTATTAGAAAAGTCATCATTATTAAAATTTATAAAAATAATAATAAACTAAATAACAAAAATTATTTAATTATTTTATAATTACTAATATTTAAAAAAATAATTAAATATTTCTTTAAATATTAAAATTTATAAAAATTATCTAAATTAATATAATAGAATTAAATATTTTTTTATCAAAATTTATAATTATTAATATTTATAAAAACTATCTAGAAAAACAAAAAAATAATAAATATTTATAATATATATAAATTGATAAAATTTGTATCTTTATTATAAAATAATTTAATTAATAAATATATGTGAATTAATTACAATGTAATATTATTATATGATAAATTAAAGTGTATATTATAAATATTTGTTGGCTTAAATTTGTAAGTTAGTTTCTATATGAAAAAAAATTTATAAATCATTTCTTATACATACATTTATTTTTAATTTAATTTTTTATTTATTTAACATTGTTTACTTTTAATTTAATAGTAGAGACTAAATCAAAAATAAATATACGTATAAGCACTTATTTATAAAAAATTTTACATTTAAAGACTAATTTATAAATTCGAGTCAAGTATAACAACCAAAACATTATTTAAATTTATTTGTTAACTATTATATTTTAAATAAACACTAAAATTTTATTTTTATTATTTTTATAAAATTATATAAAAGAAATAATCTATTTCTACTATAACAACAATAATTTTTAGTAATAATATTATAATTTTTAGTAACAATAAAATTATTGATTGTATTTAATGTTATAATAGTTTTATTAATAATTAAAAAATGCTAATAAAATTTTATTTTACTATCGCTAAAAATTTTAACTTATTGTGAATACTGTAGTGACAATTTAAAGGGTTTCTAAAATTAATTTAATATATATTTTCTTATTTATTTATTAGCTTTTATTTTTATAGTTAAATTTAAAATTATTTTTATTAATAATTAAAATATCTTAAATATAACTAATTTAATTGGTAAGTGGAAATAATATTTGCACTTAAAAAATTTATATAAAAATATACTTACAATTATTTAAATAAATAATAATAAATTCATTAAAAGAAATGACATATAGTGAACTTCTTGTTAGTTTAAACTTTACAAATCTTATAATGTGATACTTTTTTAAGTATTGTTTGCTTATAAAGTAGGAAAAAGAAAGAAAAAAAATAAAGAAAGGTTTTTTAATATAAAAACACGTTATGGTAGTGTTTGTTTGACTTTCTCAGACTTCTCATTTTCTCTTTAAAATTCTTCCATGATTTGTATCTAGAAAAACTCCATGATATTTATGTAAAAGGAATAACTAAGTTATGAAAAAAAAAACTAAAATTTCTAACAAAATGACAAAGTTGTTTGACTACATGTAATATATGTATAATCTTAAATGAATCACTAAATATGTATTTATGTATGTTTTGCATCCACTTACATCATAAAACATCTAAATACATGAAGTTTATATTTAGTTGGGGACCAAAAATTAAACCAATGAAGCAAATATTATTCAAATGCATGCTTGACTATGCATATTATTAAATCATATTTTCATAATACACAATAATAAATTCATTCAAATATACACCAACTTTCATATTAAGACAATAAAGATTGATATGAACATTTAATAATTTTTCAAATTGTCTAAACAAAAAGCATGTAATAAGGTGTATTCATTTTATATCACACCTTGTTAGCCATAGTGAAAAATCTAGTGTTAACCTCACAATACAATCCAACTAAAATTAGGTAGCAGAAAGAAGCATTTAAATAAAGTAACAATCAAACATTAGGAATATTATGATGTATGATAGCATATTTATTTAGGGGGAAGGTAATGCAATAGGTAATATCTCAATATATTACTTTTGATAGACCTATACCTCTAAACTATTACCTTTGAGACCACAGTTGCAAGGTGAGCCACTAGTCGAATTGATAGGTACCAAAATATAAACATTTTCATCTTAACTTGTTTTTATTTATACGTCAATTTATCTATATAGTTTCTATGTATCAAATATGATACTAAATACAAAATATTGGATAATCATTGTTGACAATTTAAGCTAGTGCCAAGAACACAAAAAAATACTCCAAATGACAAGTAAACTCAAAAAATTTTCACACTATCAACTTTGATTCATCCAAAACATTAGCTATTCTTTCTAACAATGTAAAATTAAGTATCTTACTAGTTGATAATTAAATTAAATAAAATAATTTCACATACCTTATAAAGAATTCAAATATTGTATCAAAATTGTCTTTAAAATCTAAATTAATACCAAATGCCTAATAAATGTATAAATTGAGTAGTTTTAGGTGATATTTTGGAACACTTTTTATATTGAAGTGTTGAATTTTTTATTCAATTCCCTCAGAACTTAAAATTTTTATAATTACTTTTATATTTAAGGAGAAGAATGGAAATTTAAGAATTTTGATTCTCTTTTGATATATTTTGTAGTTGGAATCAGAAGAGAAACATCACACAAAATTGAAAAAATTTGAAGTAAGGAAGAAGCACAAAAAACATGAAGTCTGAAGCTAAGAAGAGCTTTTGGTGGTCTCTCACTATGGTGAGACACCCTCGCTGCAGCGGTGAGAGAGCAACACAAAGGCTATTTTGGACCTCTAACTCTCGCTACAATGAGAAGATGACGTTGTAGCAAGAGAAGACATCCTCATTGTAGCGAGACATTTGGCACTGCAGCAAGAGGCAAGTAGAATGACTTAATTTTTTTATTCAGCTCTAGCTACAACAAGAGCACAACGCTGTAGCGAGAGAAGCTTCGTCCAGAATGGTATAAAATGCAACTTTTGTGTTTCAAAAGCAAAATTATTCTATTTAGAGATTCAAAGAGGGAGAAGTGGCGAAGAGCTTAGGAATAGAGTGGGAACACTCATTTTCTCATCTTTTATACCGTTTATACCTCTTTTCTTGATGCTATGGCTATAATGAGTAGCTAAAACGCTTATAAGATTGAATGTAAATCTTCAAATTTAATGTGTTTTCAGTAATTTATATAAATATAGCTATTTCTTCTTCATTTCTATTGATTTGATGATTTCAATCCATGTTTAATGCTTGAATTTGTTTATCTGATGGCTTCTTGAGCCTAGATAATTATATCTGGGAAGGTATTGCTTAGATCCAGATCTGATTAAGATTACTCAGTAACTGGTCACTCTAGAAATAGATTTCGAGTTATTAATTGCTTTTAAATCCTAATTATAATGTTGGATAGTTTGTTAATTGCTTAAGGAATCAACATTTAAAAAATTATCTTAGAAATATATTTTCAAAGAATTGAGATATATGATTTATGTATCTTGCATTAATATCAATGGAAATAATTGTTATATTTATCACTGAATTATTGGAATACAGAGAGAAAGATAGATAAAATTCAATCCCAATTTCTCTAATTTAACTTTGACCTAATTTTACATCATTGTCTTACGATATAATTTTTACTCAAATTCTATGAAAATCATCGATCAATTTTATTGTATATAAGCTCAATTAATATATATCTTAACAATTAATACATTTTGAATTACTCTCTGAGGATGATATCCTTGTACTCCATTGGTTATTACTTACAATAAATATGGTACACTTGTCGTGTTTTAAGGAAAAATTCCAACAATGCCACTACAACGCACATCTACAAGAAATCATAATTTTATAATCACTTCATTTACTTATATTTATAAAAAAAAATGCATGAAATACTTGAATATATGTGTGTGTGTATACTCTAAAGAAGATAAGGATGACCACTAACCAAAGTTACCAATTTTGTAACTTAGAGTTTGGATAATAAAGTGCACCATTGTAAGCTTTTCATTTTTAGCTTATTTTTTGCACCAACTCACGTGAATGGACCTTAGAATTGTGCCTTAATTTAATGATTATGTCAACCTTTATTTCTTTCTCCATATCACTAAGGTGCAAAATTTAATTATAACTTTTCATATATCTTTTATATTATTTTTTAATCATATCTACTTAAACTATTATTTGTTCCTTTCAGAATATCTTTATAATGGTATTAATCAAAAATTACCATTCACTGCAAACCATGAATTATGAACCACTAACAAGCCATAATTTATTCAGTGAACTGATAAATGTCAGATCGGTGTATTCATTATTCCAATAGAATTGTGTTGTGTATGCTAAAATGTATGAATTATTCATATATTCGAATGTGAAATGTAAAGATTGTGTAATTGCCGGATAAGGAGCAGAGCAGTTATTGTGCTATATAATGATGTTAATATATGTGAAGTGTCGTGTGAATGGAAGAATGATTGTTAAAGGTGTTGAGTGTTTGGATAATTTAGAAAGTATGATTAAGAATTGGTAGTATTTCACTCGGGAGAGAAATTTTGGAGTCTGGGTGCAGGATGTCTCATTCAAGTGAGAGCAGATAGGAATGTCTTAACTGTAACCTCGTCCATGCGAAAAGGAATCTCGCTCAGGTGATAGGAACCTCGCTCAAGCAAGGTGTCGCAGGAGCAATAGGTAGCTCTCTGGACGCAATCTTGCCCAAGCAAGAATGTTGTTCGCCTAGGCGAGGTGTATCTTGCTTAAGCGACGTGTTGCTCGCTCAAGCGAGAATATCAGAAATTTGAGAGGTTACAATGTTTAGTTTTCTCGCCCAAGCAATGGTTGGCTCACCCAGGCAAGAGCAGAGCTCGCTCAAGCGAGAAGTATCTCGCTTAAGTGAGAGCACGCGGGCTGAAGGGGTATTTAAGGAGCCTTAGTACCTAGAAACTTCATTTTCTCACCAAACAGCTTTTCTCTCATTTTCTCTCTATTCTCTCCTATTACTCTTAGAGAAAACTTTTCTAAAGTCGAATTCCTCTCCGATCAAAGCAAGGTTTTCTTTCT